GGATGAATGAGATAACAAAGTGTAAAACTCAGCTAGTCAAGTTCCCCTCGCAAAATATCGCGTAAAGTGCAACTTCTTCGAACAGGAAAACGTTTGTGATGATATGAAACCATCTTCATAAACCCTTACTGAAGCTTTCTTCCTTCCTAGAGAGGCTCTTCCACAATTCGGTCTTACATTCCTATTCTTATTTTCAAAGTCCTTTGTATAATTTCAAAGAAAAGAGAGAAAAAGCGCTTGAGAATTTGGAGTTTAATTAGGAAGGTAACAAATGGTTGCTAGTAAGCATCATAGCGAAGATGGTATGCTGAGAAATTAGCATTTCATGTTAGCAGCTGAGCGGAAGACTATAGCCCAATGATGCGCGTGCGAAGGGTTGAACCATACTTACGCATTATAGATAGAGCTCTCGCAAGATATAAGGGAGATCGTAAAGTGACAAAGGTTCTCCCACAATCAACTCTTAAATTGCGCAAGATTCACTCAAGAAACGATCAGCAGAATGCAGGCAAATAAAACTGAAGTACATTTCACATTGTGAGAGATATCCACAGATGATCGATCTTGCCGTCTTTCCTCCCTCTGAAGGCCCTGAAGGCCCACGTCCCCATATTGATTCCCATCGGATAATACCCTTTGAATTGGCGCGCTCAGCACAGCGAGCGCAATAGCTACAGTAACTTCGGAAGGGTTTTGTCCTATGCATTTCTTTTCTCAGCTAAAATTGGTTTTCTAGTTGTATTGCGTTCGTGTTCACTTTAACTATCATAAATCACTTTAGAACGGTACGACATTCAAGAAGACATGGTGCTCTTCCTTACCTAACTTGTATCTGATTTACTTCAATTCAATTTAACTCTTTCCAGTCGGTTCTGCAGGAATTTTTCCTTAAAATTCTCTTTATTCCTTTTTATCGCCCTATATTTTATCAGCTCTGTTATCACTGTGACCTTTTTTCACCTTTCGTTGTTCTAAATAACTTGTTTTTCCTTCAACCTTCAAGGTTGAGACAAATTTTCTTTTCCCTCCTTCAGTCCTTTGGTATTCCTTTTTTTTCTCTTCAGCTGTTTTTCAACTCATTACAGGTAATATGGCTCAACGCGTCACATATAGGCGGCGACTTTCGTACAACACAAAGTCAAATAAGGCGAAAATTGTAAAGACTCCTGGAGGTCGCCTTGTTTTCCAATACTTGAAGAAACGTGGATCCGTCCCAAAGTGCAAGGATACCGGCGTTAAACTTCATGGTGTAAGCTCTCTTTTTTAATCTTATATTTAATTTTTTTTGTTTGCCGTGGGTTTTTGGCGCCCTCCCATCCTTATTTTCCTAAAGCGACTGTGATTTTTGCGTTGACATATTCTCCTCTTTTTGTGCATGTCACAAACTCTTTTGAAATGCTGAATTATTCAAATGTGGTAGTCCAAAGTAGATGATGCTTACTTCAGTGTGTTTGAAAAGTCATCAACGTAAATGTTAGAAAAGAGGTGCTTTTCAAAAGTTGTTCATCCGATTTGTTATTTTTGTATATGTTGTGGGCATATGTTAAATGTGAATAATGGAAACAAGACCAAGGCCATAGCGCTGCAGTCTGTTATTTAATTTTGAGCTTAGCCTTTTTTTAAGTTGGTTTTTATTTCTTTTGAAGTTTATTAATCTGCAATGGATTTTTTGACGACACTGTACTCCACTTTAATATCGCGTTATTAGATATCTTAGCGCCGTAAGCCTGGAAATCCCCGCCGAAAAGAAAGGAAAGATCATCATCCTTATCAACTTCCTGCGCTGGAGAGTAGCGGTCTTATTTGTTAGAATGTATTCATCGGGGAAGAGGATGTTTCGTTGGGAGGGGATGTTCTTTGTAAGAACAGGGGTAGTCTAGCCTTACTGCGCAATAATTTTGCTATCATTTTGAAAGTTTTGCGAACGCTCTTTAGAGTATCAAATATACCAAAGTTTTTGTGATTAACATCCCAACTTTACTATTTATTGGCATGCGCAAAAGCACCTAAGCATTTTCGCGTAAACCTGACGTAACTCTCCAAACTGGTCTCAACAAAATCAAATTAGTTCAAAGTGGATCGCGAGTCCTTTAAAAACCTCTTATTTTTTTACTGGTTACCATTCTCAACAATGACGCTCTTCTCTGCACTAATAAAGTTCATAAGCTTTCCTCCTCCCTCCAGTGGAGATGTTCACACATCTCCTGGAATACATTTGAAATTGCTTTATCCTTTCTAAGAACTCTAGAGCACCGTGTTTTTTGTTCAATACTCACACTGTTATTGGGCATTTTGATTTCGCATATTTCGTTACTTTCATAGTTGCTATTGTAAAAAT